TGATATACATCTCTTGCTTCCTTTATATATACCTATACAACAACCTAATTCAGTAACCTTCTTGTTATGTTTTGCTATCTGCATAGTAGTACAGTTCTTCATGTCTTGAATAGCAACCAGGTTTGCCCCCTATGTTCACCAGTTGTTCTCTATTTATTCTTGTCCATCTAATTTCCATATGATACTACACTTCTACCATGAGTAAATCTTGTATGTTGGGTGAACGAGAGTAAAAAATATGAAACTCAGTTCATACATTTCTTCCTTGAGAATTGACAACACAATTAAACACTATTTATCCAATTATTTGTAAGATTATAAAATAAAGATGAGAATAATAAAAATATTTTTACAAGAGTACAGAATTTAGTTTGTGAACTATATCAGTAAATTATCTACAAAATTATAAGAATATTCTTGTAATTTACATCGAGCATAATTTTTCATTTAGAAGATTCTAAAATAAAATTGTGAAGATAATAACAATATTTTTTACAAAAGTATATAATTTTATTTGTGAATTATAAAAATAATTTATATCATTAGTAAAAACAAAATAAATGTATATATATTCCTGTGCCTTTCTTTCTCACTTATTCTAATTTTAATTAAAAGTTAAAAGCAATGTTTGCAATACCATTCATTCTTTGCCGCATCTGGTCAGGTGTTTCTGCTACATATTTAGAGATTCTTGATAAAATCCAAAGAAGTATCCTTAATGTCATTGGTCCTGACCTGGGATTTTGGCATCAGTCACTTTCCCATTGCTATAACATAGCTTCTCTGTATCTTTTCTATAAATACTTGCTAATGGTAATTGTTCTGATGAACTTTCCTCTATGGTACCCAGACTTTATGAATTTAAACACAGTACCAGATTGGTGCCAAGATCTCATTATTTAAAGTTGAAATGGCTAGATGCAACCATAAGTTCTAAGCTAACAGTTTCTTCTCTCACACCTTTCATTTGTGGTATTCTCTTTCGGCTTCTTACTTCCCAGTCAACTTTGATCTTCAAAAATTTAAATACAATGTCAATTGTTATCTTTTCTATTCATAATTCCTCTTCTTTTATTTTTCTCTACCTTTAGTGTTTTTTTTCTTATATTCTCTCACACTCAGTAACCCCTTGAATCTTAGTGGCTAATAAAGTCTTGCTTGAGGTGAAATGGTTAAAATAAACATCATTTTTACAAATACTAATTTTGAAACTGTGCTCACATCATTGTTAACTGTGTACCTTTAGAAATTGGGATAGAGGAAGGATATCAACAGTGATATGCAGTTACCAATGACAGAAGGATAGTTTCCAAATTGTAAATAAAATACAGATTATGCTTTAAAAAGTCAGGGATTGATTTAACACTGTATTTATATTATGAACTGGATCCCCCTTCTAAAATGATAGAAAATCAATATTTTTGATACTATCAAATGTTCTATGTAAAGGAAGGTCTAATAAATGCTAATCTACATAAATTATTTCCCTCCAAATGTATGCCCACTTTTTATGAGTCAATTCAAGAAGTATTCAGTAAACCGCGACTTTGAGAAACTGACTCCCAAGAAGTTTCTTCATTATGTTATGGCTGGCGCAACACAAAATAAGATCTTAAGGTTGAAGAAAAGAGATCACATCTAATAATGAAATGCGGATTTTATTTTACATATAATACAATTTTTGAACAATAGGGATGAGGTTTAAAACGATACAAGTTAGGAAATGCTAACAAGTTACTAAGCATGCAAGAGCTCAGAAAGTAGTTGGTTTAATGTGTAAACTATACAAAGGAGTGGGAGAGGAAATCCACTGTAGATAAGATTAAGGCTATGGAATGGAATTCATCACTAGTCAAAGAATTATATTATTTTCTTAAAAATAGTTAGATATTCACATATATATAAAATAAAGGAATTTGTCAATAATATTAAGGAAAAAGGATGAAATATTTACTGATAGTCTTTTCTTTTCAAGGACTGTTGGAATTTAAATTCTTTCAGTCGAAGCTTTATTCTTGAATCAAAAGGACTGGAGTTGACCTCAATAGTCATGGTTGTGCATTCAGGAGGCAACTGGCTAGTTGGTATGAACTCCTGTTTATATATGTTTTTTGTACCCTCTAGAACCTAGTAGAAGTTTCTAGAGACTTCCAGAATTTCCATTCTATTATTACGCAATCTAAAGGGTTTTGTGAATGTGTTGTGTAGGAACCTACCACCCCTCTTGAAGATGAACTCGTCTACAAACAAGGACGTTAAATAGTGGCATGTCAAAAGACAGTGTAGAAGTTCTGGGCTGAGTTAGTTATAGACTACTCAGGCGATATCTGTACCAACTTACCAACCAAATAAACCCCATTTTATTGTTACATGTTATTTGGTGTTTGTCTTTATTAACCCCAAATTAGCATCATAACAGAATGGGAGCTTTTCATATGGTAAAAAGGGCATCTAGTAGCTACAGATTTGTCATCATTTAAAGTTAGATTTTGTATTTTATAGTATAAGTGTAAAGAAGTAGGGCAAAATAGGGCCTTGTAACAATTGATCATTACTATCTTAACTTGTTCCAAGACAAGGGCTAACCATTATCTTTCCCCACATATCCCCATGTGCTTATTCTGTAACCCTCTATCTTCAGTGGCTCTTAGGTGAATATTATTGTTAAAAAAAATAGACCCAGGTTATAAAATCAATAGAAGAGCTGATATGGTAGCTGCAACTTCATTAAGATTGTAAATAATATTGGAAATACAAAACAAAACAAAAACATGTTTGAAAATGTGTCAATATGCCCAAAAGTTCCTGTAGCAATCTAGTTAATCAAGGGAATTATTTCAAGTGGCTCAGCATATAGTTAAAGAGAATAAATGAATTGTCAAGTTGCTAGCAGGACATTTAAAATGATTTTCTTACTTTTGTTAATCATAACAGCTTAATTGGAATTTTCCTTAGATCTGCTGCAAGTGATATCACATCGTTCACTTGCTGTTTGCTTGATGAACTTTATATAAACAACTTGCAAGCAGAACTTAACAAAGGAAGTTTTTCTCTGTGATTTTTATTGCTATAAGCTGACCTTTTTTATACTAGATTTCACCCAGTAAAATGTTTGAGAGTCACTTAAGGTAAACTTACTGTTAAAATGGTAATGTTGAATGTAGTGTGTGTTAGGAACAAAAGAGGAGGTCATAGGTGATACGGGGATAATGAGAATAGATAATGATTGACTCTTGACTTGAAGAGGTTTAGATTATAGTGAAAAGAAAAAAATTGATTTCAAACCAGAAATAAACTACAGTCAGTTTCTTTTGTGTCTTGACCTTTCAGGGTGTTGGCAATCATGGCTCTCCACAACTTCCTGTCATTTGTTGCTCTTAGTATGGTTTCTTTTTTCATTATATCTCTCAATCCCTCTTCTGCCACTCATTTCTTCGAGCTTGTTTTCTAGGTATCAGTTACTTTCTATCTCTCTCTCTCTCTTTTTTTTTTTTAAGGCAATTCATCCCAAGCAAGGCAGGAGTGCCACTATCACACAAGGGGTTGCATTGCCATTACACTTGAATATTTGAAGACTATAGTCATCGGGAAGCAAGTAAGGGGAAGGGAGTTCCACAGATGGGAAGTGCAGGAGAAGAAGCTGTTTGTGAAGAAGAGATGGTTCCATTTAACTGTTTTGACACTGAAAGGGTGGTTACCAAGATGCCAGCCTGGTAGCTCATTTAAATTCATGTAGTTCGGGAACCAGCGAAAGTAACTCGTCAAAACAATGTCCATGAAAATACTTGTAGAAAAGACAGAGGGAGCCCATGCCAAGTCTGTGGGATAGATTACCTTCAATTATCCTGTGAATGTCAAATTCTCCAGGTACTCTTTCCTCATTATATGCCCCCAAAATTTCAAATGTTTCTTTCTGATTCTAAGTATGTGTCATTTTTGTTTCTATGTTCTCTAAAACTTGTTTTCTGTGTGCTGTCATAAAAATCTTATGCCATGAGACAGTGATGTATCTCTTAATAAATTTTGTGTTTTTGTTATCTCTCCTAAACCTTGTTCCACCATTCATTTACTCAAACTCTCTAGGTAGATTATGTGTTGTTTGCCTCTGTCATTCTTGCTTTTAATATGTCCTGTGAGTATCAGATTTTCCAAGCCCTCCTTCTTCATTATATGTCCTAGAAATTTCAATTCTCTCTTTCTGATGTTAAGTATGAGTTTCCTTTTTGTTTCCATTTTCTCTAAAACTTTGACATTACTCCTATGTTCAGTCCATGGTATTCTCAGCATCCTTCTGTAGAACTACATTTCTGTTGCTTCAAGTCTCTTCTACATCTCTGAGGAGATTGTCCATCATTCCCTGCCATATAGGAGGACTGATATTACATAACAGTTCAGTACTCTTTTTCTGTGTTTCTAATAAAATTCTTGTTTCATAATACTTTGCTTAACTTTTGGAATGCATCTTTCAGTCACTTTCTCACCAACATGACATGGCTTCCCTCTGTCTTATTTCTGATTCTGTCTGCTTACTTAAGTCATAGAATATAAAAATGATCTGAGAGTTGAGATAAAATGCAACAATAATAAGATGAAAGAGAAACTAGTCAGAAATTAATAATAATGCTAGTTTTGATAGTTAATACTTCCCCGAAATAAAAGAAAGACAGAATAAATTAATAGTGTTAGCAAGATTTCTTTGTGCAGATGCTGGTGAATTTTGCACAGAACAGTATTATTAAACTCATTTGAGACATTTTACATTCAAAAAACACTAGTAAAAGAAAAAATAATATCTGTATCATTCCACATAATTACTTATAAAAACATTCCCTGCTACATATTTTTACCTTGTTCGACAATGATTGCCAAGAGGTTTTCTGCATCAATTGCAATGTTCTGCCAATGTTATATTTTCACCTTCCTCAGAACAGTCTTGTCACAAGTTTTCTTTCAACGTCCCTACAATAAGAAAAATTCAGCAAGCTGCACCAAAATGAACAATGCTTTTGCACCTGTAATAACCCGAAGGAATTACATAGGAAACATACCTAATGAGTTACAACAGTGATAAGATAAAAAGCAGAGCGTCAGGTGTTACCCATGAGGAACAGAAAAGAAAAAGCATGTTTTTTTTCTTTTCTTATATTTACACCTTTTTTTTTCATCCCCATTAATTAAGATACTGCCTTTGTAGACAACCCTTTTTTTAACTTGGGATGCCATGAGAATGTTATATATATCACTGAATTTCTATATCATGTATTCGATATGCCAGTAGTTGACAAAAAATAGGTATGTTTCCAGTATATTATGCTGATGTCCTAAGAGCAACCAACATAAAATTTTGCTTCATATTCGTGACACACATTCTTATATTTCTTTACCACATATGATCTGATCATTTCTCATTTCTACCATCAGTCCGTAAACACTAACTTTATATCTCTCTTCATACAATGATTTCCCAATCAATCCTTAAGTAGCAATCTTATATTACTATTTCTATCATTATTCTTCCAACATTCCTTAATCTTATACCTCCCTCAATACTCCTATCATTCCTTGAACACCTTATACCTTTCTCAATATTCCCATCATTCCTTAAACACCTTATACCTCTCTCAATATTCCCATCATTCCTTAAACACCTTATACCTCTCTCAATATTCCCATCATTCCTTAAACACCTTATACCTCTCTCAATATTCCCATCATTCCTTAAACACCTTATACCTCTCTCAATATTCCCATCATTCCTTAAACACCTTATACCTCTCTCAATATTCCCATCATTCCTTAAACACCTATTTTATACCTCTCTCAATATTCATATCATTCCTTAAACACCTATCTTATAACTTATGTTCACATCATTCCTTAAACACGTATACCTGTCACAATACTCCTATCTTTCCTTAAACACCTACTTAAACCTCTTTCAATACTCCCATCATTCCTTAAACACCAGTGTTATACTTATCTCTGTATTATTATTCTCTCATCATTCTTTAAACACTAATGATATACCTCTTACTGTACTATTATTCTCCTATAACATTTGATATTTCAAAGGCCTTTAACACAGTGTGGCATGAAGGTTAAACATACAATTTCTCTAGCTATGGAATCATTACAAATGTCTTCTTAGTTATAAAATCCTTCCTTATGGGTAGGTCCCTTAAAATAGTTGTTAATGACCCAAGGCCAAAGCAGTCAATGTCATCATTCCTCAAGGCTTGAATCTTGCTCCAAGCCTCTTTCTACTTTACATAAATGACCTGCCTCAGAGTATACTCCACTCTTTTGTGAATATCTATGCTAATACAACAATATATGGGTGCATCTCAAAAAGTCTTGCTGACCAGAGCTTGGTAGTTGATCATTCCTCTGACCTTCCTCAGTGGGGGAAGAACAGGCTGGCCATATCAGTGTTTCAAAAACCAAACTCATGATGTTCCATCATCATTGAGAAAACCCAAAACTTTCACTGATCACAATAAATGGTTGTTCCTCCCAGGGAGGTCCTGTGCCTACTGGGATTTAAAATCAACCCAGACCTCAAGTGGAACGTATATGATCCATCACTAAAGATGTTGGAAAAATGGTCCCTCTACCACTCCAGTATGTACCTGATGCTTCCTGCTAACCTCCATCTTTACAAGAACCAGATCAAGCTGAAAATGGAGTACTGCTACCATATATGGGCATAAGCTACCCTGTTATCACTTTCTGATTTTGATAGTATCTAAAAGCATCTTTGCATCAATATGGGGGACAAATTATTTTCCACCCTACAACCACTTTCTCACAGCTGAAACATTGCAAGCCTCTTGTTGCTCTATCACTATTTCCATGGAAAGTGTTCAGACAGACTACTTTCCTTAGTTCTACCAGTCCTAAGCTTCAGAGCTAAGACCTGCCATGCCATGCCCATTGTAGTGAACCACCCTCATTCCTTTCATATTCCATTGGTGAGATGTAAGTTCCACCCAAGCAACTTTTCCCCTATGAACTGCTACTTTGTGGAACCAAGTCCCAAGATGATGCTTCCCAGATCACTACACTCTTAACCTGTTCAAGTCTAGAGTCAACCCTTATCTTTCTCACATATCTACATAAACTGTACCTTTTACTTAGTAATCCTCTACCTCGAATGGCTCTTGGGCCTTTTAAAGAGTGAACATCACATTTAAAAAAATATTATTCCTTAAACAGCTATCTTATACCTCTCTCAATACTCCCACCATTCCTTAACCTTTTGAGACCTGCGTTCCTGAACAATTTTAACCCTTCTACCTGAATTGATTTCACAGTAGATATAAAAATAGTTACAAGTGTTTACCCACCATTCAACTGGTAGCTGGGTATTAAGTTATTTTTCTCTACCACTGTTCAACTGGGGGCTGGTCATTATGTCATTTTCTCTACCACTGGTAAAGTGGTGGTCAGGGTTCAAACACACAAGCACACAACTCTGATCATCAGACAATAGTGTGGTTGAATTTTTCATTAGTGTTGTCATATCCTACTATGGCAACAGGAAAATGACAAACTGAAAATTGAAGATGATGCTATTGCAGTTGTGTAGCCACTTATACTGTTGTATCTCATGTTTTCAAGATAACAGAGGAAAATAAATAAGGAAGCTGTCTTCTTTATTTTCCTCTGTTATCAGTTGTAGGTAAGTAATGCTATGGGTAAATAGCAGGACAGACTGGGTTCTATAGCCTTGGATGGCATCTAGTCTAGGAGAAGGAAAACTCTGAATTCAAACCAGAAAAAATCCAAGGAGCGTCTGCATCGGCAACAGGGCGGCTTCTGGTCGCTTCCTGTCTCTGCGTCTGTGGGAACCCAGCGCAAGCAAGAACGTTATTCAGTAGGCCTGGGTACCCTACTTCTGTAATTTATCCCAAGAATCTTCTTCTCACATGACTACGAATGAGTCAACAGGAAGAAGCCGGCTCAATCCACCCAGGGTGAATGCCGCATCAAGACAAGAAGAGAAGAATGAAAAAGAAGGCTTACTACATGAAGGTACACTTAGCAATTGACCTAATGCTAACTCTGTTCAACTTTGCTTATTTACATAACCAGAAAATTCTATTCATTTATGTCCTATATGACATATACCCAATGGATGAGGATGAACTACATATGGATATTGAAGAGTGCTTACGGTTAAACACCCATGTTATACAGCCTTCTCCCCTATCAAAATGTCTTTCTTTCTATGTGCCATGTCCTTTCCGGATGTAGGTGATCATGGCTCACCACCTCCCTCTATCCATTGCAGCTCTCAACAAGTTCCTTCCCTATGCTACCTTCCCCAGACCACATTCTGTCATCCACTTAAGGCCACTAGGTATGTCATGCATTGTTTTCCCTTGTCTCTCTTTCCCTTTATTCAACCTGTGAATATCAGATTCTTACCTTCCTCGTTATGTGTCCCAGGAATTTCAGCTGCCTCTTCCTTCTTTGCATCCTCTCTAAGACCTCATTGTTGCTCACATGCTTGGTCCATGATATCCTTAGCATCCTTCTGTAGAACCACATCTCTGTCTCCTTGACTCTCTTCTTCATTCGCTGCTGTAAAGAAGGACAGATGTCACATAAGAGCTCAGTATTCTTTTCATCGTCACCAAAGAAATCCTCCCTGTCTCACATTACTTGGCCCAGCTTTTGGAATGTGTCCCTGGCCATCCCAATACATCTACAGATCTCAGTATCACATTTATCGTCCTCTGTCAGAACACTTCCCAGATATTTAAGCTCCCGATTCTAATGTTCCCAACCTGCAAATCACATTTCGGGCACATCCTTTTACTCAAGGACACATGGCACAGTGGATAAAGGCATTAGTTAGATCCAGTGACAGGACCCAAAGAGTGTGAGTTCAATACCTAGTTAAGGTGGTGGAGAACTTGAAGAGGGGAACTGACAGGAAATAACTGACATCCATTAGACATGGTACATGGAAATTTAACAGTCTACCCCAGTGAATGAAATAAAGAGTTCAGTTCAACATTCCAACCAACTGAAGAAGGCTGAAGCATACAGTGGCTGAAACGTGATAAATATGGCAACAAACATGTGGAAAATAGTCTGAATAATGTAAATAGTGAGTGAACATTTAATTAAAAGATTTCAAAATTGAATCTTTCATATAATATTATAGTTCTGCTTTTATTGCCTATTACTATTCAATAGAAACATTATGTCTTATCTATTTTTTATATTACTTTCCAAATTTCACATCTTTATTTATTTTTCATGCAAACTTTTTGAACTGAAGAATTAACACTATTCAATAAGATCTCACCATAGGCAGTATCTCTAACTGATAGAGCCTAACTATCCACAGATTGCTAAGCACACATGGCAAAACCTTTCTGTTTGCAAGTTTTATTAAACTATTTCACAGAAATAAAAATATAACCCACACGCAAAGAGAGAGACACAAGTTTTTAATAATAATAATAATAATTTTAAAATATGAAAAATTTAATCAATTTAAATAGCCTCAAAGCCATCACAATCTGCACAATCAGTTAGCTACTTCATTAATTTGAGATTTTCTCCCTCCTTTAAATTTATAGGAGGATGACGTGAACATGAAACTTGTTCCAACTGACAGCATCTCAATGTTGTGTCAGAAAGTATTAAAATTTTAATTACATTTTTAAAATTGGTTGTCAATTCTCCAGTGAAAATTTTGGGGCATATCAAGTATATATGATTTTCCTCTTATCGATGAATTTCACCATCTCTAGAGATCCTACTGATCCATTTAAACTTACTCATCCTCTTTTTTTTCTGTCTAAATTTTTGGGATGAGGAGTTATTATTATTTAAACTCAAGCTATTATCCTCATTTTTGTTGTTTTTATCACCTGATCACCTTCAGCTTGAATTTCTGGGAGGAGAAGATATCATTATTTATATTAGGACTATTGTCCTCATTTTTGTTGTTTTTATCATCTGATCACCTTCTGTCTGAATTTCTGGGATGAGAAGTTAGCATTGTTTATATTTGGACTATTGTCCTCATCTTTGTTGTTTTTATCACCTTATTGCCTTCTGTCTGAATTTCTGGGATGAGAAGTTAGCATTGTTTATATTCAGACTATTGTCCTTATCTTTGTTGTTTTTATCACCTTATTGCCTTCTGTCTGAATTTCTGGGATGAGAAGTTAGCATTGTTTATATTTGGACTATTATCCTAATCTTTGTTGTTTTTATTATATGATCGCCTTCTGTCTGTATTTCTGGAAGGAGACGTTATCATTATTTACACTATTTACATTCGGGCTATTATCCTTATCTTTGTTGTTTTTATCACCTGATCGCCTTATATCCGAATTTCTTGGATGCGATTTTAGCATTGTCTATACTTGGACTATTGTCCGCATCTTTGTTGTTTTTATCATCTGATCGTCTTTTGTATTTCTGGAAGGAGAAGTTATCATTATTTACACTATTTACATTCAGGTTATTGCCCTCATCTTTGTTGTTTTTATCCCCTGATCGCCTTCTGTCTGAATTTCTGGGATGAGAAGTTAGAATTATTTACACTATTTATATTCAGAATATTGTCTTCATCTTTGTTGTTTTTATCACAATGTTTCAGCCATTGTGCTCTTCATCATTGGTAAATAATAAATAATTACTTGTCCTCATTGACTCTATTCATGGTAGTTTTGTACTGCTCTTAACAATTTTTGTCTGAATTTCTGAGTTGCCATTTTTTCTCACTTTCCTTTAGTACATTTTCTAAATGTTCTGTCAGTTTTCTTTCTGAATCTGTCACCAATATTGTGTCTCCTGAATATCTTATGTTGTTAAGATTATACCCACTAATAATAAATCCTAGTAGGATTTCTAGTTCTCTTAAGATTGCCATGCAATAATGTTTGAAGAAATACAGAAATTGAATATTTCCTTTTCTTATGCTCCTTCTTTATTTATGCAGACTTAACATGTCATTTTTATACAATATACATTATTTTATTTTATTTTATTTTTCATTTCATACTTAATCTATTCTTTTGTCATATTGGATCTATGCAGTTTTCATACTTTTTTTAATATGATATGAGGAATTCTTGTTATCATTTTGGTTATTGTAGACATTCCTTACCGTTTTATGACTTCTTTATTTTTAATTATTTCTCTACTACCTTCAAATCTTTCCTTATTCTATATAATTCCTTATTTTGCCTTATCATTCCTGTATTTTATTATGGCATCCACATTACTCTTTCTTACTTATCTTTACATGGTATTCTTTCCTCGAGCCACTCAAGGTAGAAGGTTACTGTTGTAGCATACCTACAGATGATAATGGGCATGCCCCCATTCTCATAAATACAGTAGTGAATACTGTATGTGTTGGTCTGCAGTCTGCATTTGGAGATTCATTATGAAATTCACTTGACTCACTTCTTATACGTGCTGCTGGCAAATCTTATATATGTTGTTCTTGTCCTAAGCATTATCGTTCATTATTAACCTTCGTATGATTATTCTATTCAGTAACCCTCCCTAGGTTACAACAGTTACTAAAAGATTTAAATGTGTAAAAGGAAGAAGTAAAAGGTGCATATTATGAGGATATATAGGTTGACCCTAGACTTGAAGATTGTAGTTATCAGGGAAACATCCTCTTGAGAGTCTGTTCCATAGTTTAACAATTACAGAGAAGAAGCTGTCTGAGTATAACTCTCTCCTTACCAGTGGTATATGAAAGGAATTAGGATGTGTACATAGCATGGCAGGTCCTGGCTGTGAAGGCCTGAACTGGTGGAACTAAGGAATCTAGCTCGCCTAAATCTCTGACATGAAAATGACAATAGAGTAGTGATAGGCTGGCAACATTTCATCCGTGAGAATGGGTTTCTAGGAAGGAAAACTTTTCATCACCTATAAGGCCATATAAACACTTCAGGTGACCTGAGAGTTGAAATAAAAAGATATGGCAGCAGTGCTCCATTTTTGGTCTGATCATATTTCTGACTTTATTTCATTTCTACAACAGTCACAAAGATGAGGACAACACTTGAGATAAATCAGAATCTTTATTTCTATATTATTCTGTCATCTCAGCTTCTTCTATTTTCCATATGCCTTCGGGACGTGGACGATCATGTCTCATCATCTTCCTATCCTTTGTAGTTCTTAATAAGGTTTGTCTTTTCGTTTCCCTCTTACTCCCTGTACAGCTACCCATTTACTCATTAGGTAGGATATTTGCTGCTTTCCTCTGTCTTTCTTGCCTTCAATGTGTCTTGTGAGTGTCAAATTTTCCAAGCCCCCCTTTCCTCATTTTGTGTATTAGAAATTTCAACTATCACTTTCTAGTTCTATGCATATGCATCCTTTTTGTTTCAATTTTCCTTAAAGCATTGACATTAGTCACATGTTCAGTCCCTCATATTCTCTGTATCTTTCTGTAGAAGCACATTTTTCTTGCTTCAAGTCTCTTTTTCATCTGTGAGGAGATTGTCCAGCATTCACTTCCATATAGAATGATTGATATCACATAACAGTTCAGCATTGCTTTCTTTTTTTCTCACAAAAATTTCCTGTTTCTTAATACTTTGCTTAGCTTTTGGAAGACATCTTTTACTATTCCAATGCATCTTTGGATTTTTTTTTAAAAAATCTCTTCCTATATATTTAAATTTTTGTACTTGCTTGATTTCAGTATTTTCAATTTATAGTTTGCATCTTGAACTGTTTCTTTTGCTAAAAACTATACATTCTTTCTTCTTATAGTTAATATTTAGTCCTTTCTTCTCTCTATCCTTTATTACTTCTCAGCTTATCTTTGTCTTTATTTTTCTTTCCTTAATATTCTTTTATTTCATTCTCTATTTGTGCCATGTCCTTTAATGATATGGATGATAATGGCTCTCCACAGCCACTCTTTGTATTTGAGAACTTTTTTTTGATATCCATTTATTTTAATTCATCAAGTGCGATATTGCAAATCATTCCAGCAGACTTTTCTTATTCCTTTACCATTTCTTTATTTTTCTTAACATTCTCTCTATCTCACTCTCTTATCTTTTATTTTTGACCATTCCTCCAGACTTCAGAAGCATTTCTTAAATCGATGCCAATCTTTCATCATTCTTTACCACCATACCATTTCTTCATTTTTCCTTACTACCATACAATTTCTTCATTGTTCCTTATCTTCATACCATTTCTCCACCTTTCCATAGCTCTATACTATTTTTTTCATCTTTGATTATCTCTATACCATTCCTTCATTTTTTCCTTACCCCCATAATATTCTTTTGTCTTTCCTTCCCTCATAATATTTCCTTATCTCTCTTCCTGACGTATACCATTTCCCTATCTTCCTTCCTTACCCTATACCACTTCCTTATTTTTGTTCATGGCCCTCTACCATTTCTTTATCTTTCTTCCTCATCCTCTATGATTTTTTTATCTCCTTACTTTACTCTATACCATTTCCTTATCTCTCTAATTTACCATATACCATTTCTTTATCTCCCTACTCTATACCATTTCCTTATCTCTCTAATTTATCATCTACCATTTCCTTATCTTTCTAATTTACCATATACCATTTCTTTATCTCCCTACTCTATACCATTTTCTTATCTCTCTAACTCATCATATACCATTTCTTTATCTCCCTACTCTATACCATTTCCTTATCTCTCTAATTTACCATATACCATTTCTTTATCTCCCTACTCTATACCATTTCCTTATCTCTCTAATTTATCATATACCATTTCCTTATCTTTCTAATTTACCATATACCATTTCTTTATCTCCCTACTCTATACCATTTTCTTATCTCTCTAATTCGTCATATACCATTTCTTTATCTCCCTACTCTATACCATTTCCTTATCTTTCTAATTTACCATATACCATTTCTTTATCTCCCTACTCTATACCATTTTCTTATCTCTCTAATTCATCATATACCATTTATTTATCTCCCTACTCTGTACCATTTCCTTATCTCTCTAATTTACCATATACCATTTCTTTATCTCCCTACTCTATACCATTTCCTTATCTCTCTAATTTATCATATACCATTTCTTTATCTCCCTACTCTATACCATTTCCTTATCTCTCTAATTTACCATATACCATTTCTTTATCTCCCTACTCTATACCATTTCCTTATCTCTCTAATTTATCATATACCATTTCCTTATCTTTCTAATTTACCATATACCATTTCTTTATCTCCCTACTCTATACCATTTTCTTATCTCTCTAATTCATCATATACCATTTCTTTATCTCCCTACTCTGTACCATTTCCTTATCTTTCTAATTTACCATATACCATTTCTTTATCTCCCTACTCTATACCATTTCCTTATCTCTCTAATTTACCATATACCATTTCTTTATCTCCCTACTCTATACCATTTCCTTATCTCTCTAATTTATCATATACCATTTTTTTATCTTCCTTCTTTGCCATCTACCATTTCCTTATTTTCCATCCATACCATATACCATTTCTTTATCTTTTTCATTATCCTTCCCACCTTCTATACCACTTCTTTATTTCCCTCTGTCATTCCTTCTATGCTAATATCATTATATATCTTTCTTTCCATAATACCATTTCTTCATCTTTATTTATTTCTGTATTACCCCCATGCCTTTCCTTTCTTCTTTACCATTCTTTATCTTTACACCATTCCTGTCTTAATTCTGTAATAACCACATTACATCTTCCATCCACAGTATTACCAAATTATATAAACGGTTATAATAAAAAAATTACTATTTTTCTCTTACCTTGCCATCAGTTTTCCATCTTCTTCTGAATATAAAAAGTTTTTCACACATATTTTTCTATTACTTCTCCTTCACATATTACTGCTTCACATTACTTCTCCATCTTGAACATTCAGGTTCTTCAGACATGTAAACTTCATTGTCCTGAATAACACTCTGATATCTCCCCACTTTGTCCTGCAAGAGATTATATCTGAACTGATCTTCACCTGCTTGATGTATGAGCAATGTAAGAAGTCATTCTTTTTCATTGTCCAGTTAATGTCATTGACCTCTTGGTTCTGCAATATATTCCCCTGTGTAGCTTGCATCATTTGAAGCCAATCAAAGGCATGCTTAGCCAATCAATACAATATAAGTCAGCTGTAGACTTAAAATGTTAACTATACTGAGTTTAGGCCAGTGACCAACCTCATTTATTTCACTCTATTCAGAAACCAATTTGCACAATCAATGTTAATTCTATGTTAGTACCTTGGAGGATTAAAATTTAATCTTAATGTTGGCACACTTGCATTACAGTTTCAGTGGGTACTGATTCATCAGTCCTATTTTGCATTGTGTGGTGGAAGTCACTCATAGTTTTCTTCTGGACCATTTAGAAAATAATAAGCTCCACTCTATATTTTCTTTTTTGTTTTTTTTTTGCCAGATTTGAGTTATAGTTGAATAAAGCTTCAAGTAAAGCACCTACTTTGATTGTTTTTCATTATAATTTATTCAACTATAATTAAACTCTGGTAACAAACAGGATGGAGTTTGTTCTTTTATAACTTGGCCAGGGGGAGATAATGTTTGACTTCCACCATGCATTGTATTCTAAAAACTGAATTGTAATTTAACATTGGCATATTCCAATGGCAACAATTCTTGTACGTATTTTACAAAAAAATAAAAATTTCATATGTTACTCCTTGTAAAAGAAATGAATCTAGAACTTATAAAATTTACAGCATAATTATCAGAATTGGTAACCAGAAATTTTTTTCTTCTGATGACTTCATTCTACATTTCTGAAATGGTTCAATTATAAAAAATTGAGGAGATAAGTAAATTGAACATAGAATAGGCTGTACTATGAGTAGTTTTGTCCAACACTGCAAAATGTTATGAAATCAAAAGAACTCGTGTCATACTCTTAAATATCTAGTCTCGCATATGGGTACCATACACAACATCCATCTTGTTCAGAAATATATAAATTATAGGCTATTTACAACCATTTTCTTAAATCAATGATTCAAAATGGCTTCAAGCTAACAAATCCTCCTTAAAGAACATAACTCTTTATTAGATCTTATAAACTGGCACTACAGAATCAGAAAGAAGTTTGCTAAATATTAAAATCACTTGAAGACTTCCAATAGCAGCAACAACTAAAATGGTTAGCACATTGTTATGCCATAGTACCTATTCTATTGTAATGGACTCTCCCATAGATAATAAGTAGGAGTAGCAGTGGCAAGTCTGGCAGAATGGTGTTGAGCGCGTCAGTCGAGATTCGGACATTTGAAGTACCAACCATCACAAGTAGATTGCTGCACCATTGACTCTTATTTTCCAAGTTCCTAATGTTTTGTACGTCGGACCTAATTTAGGACGACTTATTAGAAATACAAGCCTCCACTGTGAAAATACTCCACAACACACATGTAATTAGAAGGGAAAATAATTATATAATAAAGATGTTAACTTTCCATACAATCTTAAGCAAAAGATTAGGAAGAAAACTCCCATCAGTATAATAAAGAACAATAATAGATTTGAGAAGTGTATTTTCCTTAAAAAGAGAAAGATTTTATAAACTTCAGCCAGCAGCAATTCTACTTTGGTCAATAAATGCTGAATATTTCCTGTACGGAAATGATTAATATCCCCATTACCATTTTATAGAACTGCTTCTTATTTGAAATTGGTCTAAAATTTTATGCATGTTTTCTGTTTGGATTACTTGATTCCTGCTCTTTGGAAAAATTCTGTCTGATGTCAAGTCTTCCAGGAGACAAGAATAAATTCAATAGATCTCATTATTACTTTATGAGGACTATCCATTTTAAATAAACGAATATTGATCATTGAGTTTATGTATTCAGTTTGGGAATTTTTTTTCTTTCTATTTATAACTTTTGAAAATATTTCTGGTACTTCATTTTCAGTTTTCTAATTCTGATCTTTTAAATTAGGTTTTAAACATTTCCTAAACATTTAATCTTTCTATTGATGTTAAATTCACAAAGTCTTTCCATCTGAATAGTATTTTAATCGTTATTTTAAGAGAAGCAAATGCTATGCAAACAACCTGATGATTTCTATTTGTTCTTCAGTCTAGTGACTTAGAAAATTCTCAAGATCTTTTCAGAAGTAGACATCTTGAGAAAAAAAAAAAATAAGAAACAAGTTAAAAGCATCAGAAAGGAGTGCTCACTGTCAGTGGTCACATTTTTTTTTTTTTTTTTTAATATCTTTATCAAGAACAATAATGGCAATTAAAGATGTTAAAAAGAAAAGGAACCTGTGTACTTCCATGAATGCCTATATCCCTTCAGGATAAAGGCATTTAAAAAAATGAATATAAGCCAGATAGGTGTAATGAAGTGTGCTGGCTTAATAATGATGTGAGTAGACTAATGAACAACAGGAGACTTAAATCTGTCATATTTAACTTAATATTTTATTTCACTCCAATACTTCAATTAATCTCAGCCTACACATGGGGTGTGACTCCCAAAGTCTTCATCCAAGGCATAGTCCTTCGATTTATGTCTGTGATCTGAAAGGCTGCCCAACTTCTTTCTGGAATAGTTGTTTTTTTGTTTTTTTTTATATCTACCTATTCATTCATTGGCAAAGTTTAATGTATGTACCTACAAAAAATGGCATATCAGAAGGACGGTTTTTCTCTTTGGCACTATTTCTGTATACTTCTTTGGCAATTTTTACTGTTTTTAAAAAGCTTTAATAAATGTTTTTAGCACTTTAATAAATTCCAATCATTAACTGGATTAAAGCATTCCCATTTTTCCCAAGAATTAATAACAAAACTATTAAACAATATTCTTGAAAATAAACAGTCTAATAAATAAATAATGTTTAACATTTTTGTTGTCATTTCTCAAGAAAAAAAAATAATCCACATGCTCACAGCCTATTTTAGTGAATTTATAAGGCAAACAAATGAAAAGAAATTCCTAGACAATACCTTTTTTTCAAAATTTATAATTACAGCTACCTTTCCCGAGTATGATGATAAACTACATCCAACAGAGAGGCCTCTGACCAGGAGGTTTTGAAGAGCATGGAACCACCTCTTAATTGCTGGTGTTCCAAGGTCCACCCTGACCCAGGGTGGTGGCACATATGTGGGTCCCAGCTTTGGACAAATAGTTAACCCTCCAAAAGGGATCAAAACACTATGAAAGTATAAAAATAGGTTTTAATACCAGTAATACATTTTTTTTTAAATATTATCAACAGTATATTTTTCATAAAAAATATTCCCAGCAATAAAAATCTTGTCAGTATTAAATAACCCATTGAGGTTTATATACCTTAAATCAAACCAAACCAAACCAATTACATTTACTTGTAGTTATGTGTTTATTTACATTTTTTTGTTGTCTTGTTCTGACATTTTTATAAATTTATGAATAAATAAAATGTTTTCATAGTTATTTATTTATAATATGGTAAATAGGGGGTGTTACACAATTTTTAAAACATAACGATCAGGCGCAAATCAAGAGCGATAAGGGATAGAGTAATGAAAATTATATTTATTGAAAGCTAAAAGGATAACATTTTAGTAACTGCAACCATTTAGTCTCAAACATGAACCAAAAATGTCAAGAGAAGCCCTAGAGTACACACTTCAGATGTCTGCCATTCATATGAAGACACTGTTAAATGCAAAGTTGTTGATAACACATGCACATTCCTCCTGGTTGATTGCTTTAATCTTCTCAGTGATAGCTGCCTTTAAT